TTAATTTTTTTTTTAAATTATAGTGTAAAAAATTATGATCTAGGTAGGAACTAGTTTATTATATATCGAGTTCACATTATTAATGGTTTTATATAAGGTACCTCACTTATCTCAATTAATGTAAATTTATTTATGTTATTTATTCTACTCAGAGCCGGCGTAAGGCTAAATGACGCCCGAGGCCAAATTGCCAACTGGCGCTTTTTTCATACAACAATCCGTAATATCTTTATACTTAGAAAAAATGATATATTATGCTCAACTTGCACATCATTTGTTATCGTCTAATTGTTAGTCACAAGTCACGACGGCTCGACGCGAACCCAATTGAACGATAACAAATATTTGGGAATTATAGCAACATATACGATAAAACATTCTACGCTAAACCATAGTAAATACTTCAAATATATTTATACGGCTAAAGGAAGTAACCATAACTATCATCAATATTTCAATACAAAGTTATAGGTATTTTACATTAAAAAAAAAAAAAATTATAATATTACTGACATATGTGCAAAATTGTAAAAAACAATTTTGGCGCTCCCCTGAAAATGGCGCCTTAGGCGATCGCCTGAGTCACCTGACTCTCACGCCGGCCCTGATTCTACTCACTGAGTTTTTTATAATATTAGTTCCCTATAAACGTAATGCTTATGGTAGAGATTAAGCCAGATCTGGCAATTAAAAAAAACAAATAGATTTTTAGAAAATAAATCCTTTTTATTCAAAAACTATATTATTCTACTTCTGATGCACTTCTCAACAATTTTTGACGTTGATAAAAACAAAGCTATAGGTCTATATTTGAGCATTGGGAGTGATCACCCGATTTGTACATCATACATATTTTAAACTAGATGAAAATACTCCTAGAGTTATTGATAAATTATAAATGTAGGATAAAAGATAAGCTATTAGTATTTGCTGTTTTTTTTAATATATAATTTGTATGGTCATGTTTAAAAAATAATGTTTTATCTTCAATTATTTTTATATGTTGCACTATTTTGTTTTCCTAATTGGAGTAATAAAGATAGTATTTGTAACTCTGCAATTTTTATTTGAAATATCACATGGTTTGTCTATAAATACATTTGATTTTATATTATTTTATATATCAGCACCAACATATACAAAAATGTATTAAATAAAAAAATATCTTTTTAATTTTCTATTTATGTATTATTATCAAATACACTTTTTACGTCCATTTTATTATTTTTTGTTCCTAATACTTAATTTACTATTTTCTACATAGATTTAAAATCGGTACTTGCTGACTTAATTTTTTTTTGATAAAAAATTGTCGCTTTTTAATTAAAATGTTCAATAAGTTTCTATAACTATTATATTTTATTTTAACTTTCTATAAAATGGTCGAAAACTTAATTTAATAGGTAAGTTATTTTTTTTCCAAATAGAAACAATTAAGCCTTACGTAATTCAATCTTTAAGTTTTTTTTTGTTTTACATTCTAGAACCTAAAATAATTTTATTTTTTGAAGCATTAATAAGTTGCTATATCTAAGCGGAGAAAGTATCATTGTAAAAAAAAATGATCAGTTATTTCAAATTTAATAATATACGACATTATAATATCAATAGAAATATTTGTACTAAATGTATGATCTAAACAGGATTTAGAGCTATTAAAAACACGTGTTTAATTATTAATATAAGAAACAAAACTATTAATTAACATAATACTAAGATACTCTGTTGAATTTAGTGAATTACATAAAAATATTACACATAAATAACATATTTATATCAATATTAATATCACCACAAATAACTAGTTTATTAGATGTGTTAATATTATTTAAATAAGACTCTAAAATATTAAGAAACACACCAACATCACTATTTGGAGACTGATAAACTCCGATAATGTTATAAACGGTACTACAACATTCAACTATTAATTCAAGAAAATTACTATTACATAACATATTATCATTAGTACTTAACAATTTTATATTTTCTTTAACAAAAATTGTAATACCATCACATTTTATAAATTAAGAGATAATTGTTCGATAGCTATTTAATATATATTTAAAATCATAATCCAGCTGATTTTCACACAATATAATAACTTCAAATTTAACACTATAAGAGTGTAAATAAATTAACTGCCAATTCATATTAATGAAGTTTATATGTAGTTAATACGTCTAATATTCATTGAAAAAATTGACAGTTTACTATTTTCACTAAAATGTATTGTATTATCTAAAACTATTGAATCAATATTTTTATATTATTAACTTCATTCGAAATATCTAAAGCCATAAATTAAAAGTAATGTATTATAAACTATATTACAATTAAATAATAGATAAACTTACAAATTATTGATGTCATATTCAGATTTAATTTGAAAAATTTTGCCGCCGCCAAATTCCTTGTTAAAATGTCTGCATGTTTGTCCATACATACTTGAATTTTTTTTCTTTACAGACGTTTCTTGTTTTTGTAAATAAATTTCGTCGATATTTTGTGAGTCTTTCATTCACGTAAATTTTTGAATTTTCCGGCCAGCTGTTTAATGTTTAAAATCATGTTCGCATTAATCTTCATAGTTTTGATTTTCCATACAAAGTCTTTTTTCATATTCAACGAAGTAATATCAACAAGTATGCTCGTGCTATACTAGTAGAATGTATTCTGATGGTAGACATTATGGAAACATCCAAATTAATTTTTTTGAAATAGCTTGAACAATGTCAGTGCAATTTTTATTATTTATCTTATGGATTTACTTAATTTCAACGCTATTGCTAATATAAAACTGTTCTAGGTCATCAATTTTTTTTGTTTCATTATAATAATTTCCTCCTTCAGATATTTATTTTGGGTTAAAATTTTTTGATTTTCGGATTTTACATCTTTAATTTATTTTAAATCGAAATCTATATTTTATTAGTCATCAAACTGATTTTCCATAAAGTTTATAGAATTAACTAACTCTTCTAGTTTAGCAACAGATGGAATGTCATTAACCATATCTGTTTTAGTTTTTAATGTAAAACAAAAATCAATACATTTATGACATTTATAACTCTTTTTCATGTTATTAGTTAATATTTTGAAGTTAACTTCACTATAATCAGCACAAAAAAAAAATTTAAACAGACATTATAATTACTGCACATAGTTGAATCGTCATCATTGAAGATTATGCTACTATTTTACATACTCTGTAGACATTATGCAAAAATATTGATTATTTATATTTAAGACAAAATTAAGCAATATAATTTACTTTGCACAGTATTATTTACTAAGGTTTTCGATAACAAACGACAACCATACTTAACCATAGGTATATAATATATATTATGTATCGGCAACTATGCACACTACGACTTTCTCACACAACGATTAGCAACGTACAATATTAACATCACACCCAGATAAGAGAGAAGCACAGAATGAACGCACATCCTATCTGTTCACCGAACAGAACTAAACTGAACTGATTATACATAAAATAAATAAATAATTTACTAAAATTAAGGTAGATAGTGATATAAAAACAATCTACAAAACCCTATGAAGTTTAACTAGTAATTTGTTTCATATCTTCAGTTTTACTAATCGTAATCATTAAGTACATGCGTTTTTGTTCCTTTAGGAACTTCTCAGTTGTATTTTTTTTAATTTTTCTTTTTTGTTGGAATACAAGATTTTGTAAGAATGTAAGATTTTCATAGTTTTTCTTGACTAGAAATTATTTTTTAAAATTAAAGATTTGCATTTTCATATAATTTGTAACCGTGACTTAGCCTACACTTAAAAACAGTTATCTGTTTTAGAATATGAGAGTCTACAATATATTAAATTAAAATTTGTAAAAAAATGAATTGCAAAAATGAAATTATTGATTCGAATAATAATATTACTGTTTAATTTATTTAAAATAATATTAAACACAGTATATTTATAATATTTTCATAAAAAAATTAGGAGTAGAAATTATAAATGTTGGATTTATGAAAAAAATAAATATATTTATTTTTAAATAAAACATATTAGGTATAATAATTATATATTTTAATATAAAATGCATAAACTAAATGAAGCATAATAAAATATAAAAGTGAAATTAGTCCTTTAAAGTTTATTAAAGTAAGTAAATTTCGATAAAATTTTAACGTTACAATTGAGAATATTCAAAACTTTAAATTACATTTTTTGATTTTAAAAACGTATGTACATTTAATATAATGTAGGCTACATAATAGTGTGGTGAAGGAATTTTTAATACATATAGGTATGGGTACTATGGTTGAAATATGGTACAGTTTATTTGACTGATATTTAAACATTTTGTTTAAATCAACTAGTTTAAAATATACATTAATAAACATAAAAAACCATAATATATACAATCTTAAAAAATTTCACAGTAATTTTCATAATAATAAATTTCAAAATTCACATAATTAGTACCGATGAACATTGTCTTATGAAACCGTCCGGGCGGTAATTATACGGAGGCCCGAAGGAACACTGTAGAGTTGTATCTGAATAACTGAAGCAAAGTCACCCCCTATTCGTGCGTATTTGGAAATCCGTTGAATCGCGGCGACACCGTTTTCAGTTACGCACGTCGGTTTGTGAAAATAAAAAAACGGTTGGCGGCGAGACCCGGTCGTCGTCATCACGATTCACGACGACCGCCATTCGCCACTACCAACTCGCTGCGTATACACCGATGACGTACGTGGACGTTAGTGTGCGACACCATCGACATCGCGGTGGTTGTTATTCCATTCGCGGTGGGGTCATCTATTTCTGAATGGGTGGAGGGTGGTGGGGTGAGTATTAACGACGAAAAGCGTACTCGGCCGTCCGTGCGTGTGTGAACGCAGCTTGGTCGGTTCCCACCGCGTGCGCGCGGAAACCGGTTACTCACCGCTTTGTTGATGGGGTGGTGATTGGGAGGGGAGCGGTCCTCCGGGAATGTACGTTACGAAATTTTCTATACCGCGAACGACAGTCGCACGGGTTCGTTCGCAACCGTCGTTTGTTCGCCTTCGTCGTCGCAGTCGCCGTCGCTGGCGCGCGTCCTCGTATCATACCGTCACGTTTCCTCCCCCCGTACCCCGCCCCTTAACAGTCATTGTCGCTGATAATCGAATACCTATGTGTTTATTGTGGAATAGTCAATAGTCCAGTGCCGGGGAATCAATTTTAATCCGGGTCTTTTTTCGCGTCGTCCTCCCCGGTTGTCGTAACCCATCGTCATTTTCGCAAATGTCTTCTGATGTATTTAAATCGTGATTCGTTCTAACGGTGCCGTTTGTTGGTATTTGTGTTTGTGCGTGCGTGCGCGCGCGCACACGTCGTCTGTCGTTCGTTCGGTGTGATGCCGTTATCGTTTAAAAAAATCTTCTCGCGAAAACTGCTGTTCAGCCCGAAAGTCATGGGTGGTACAGCATCTCATCACGAACCGTTGGACCGGGTCACCAGCCACGCGGGCTCTTCGTTCAGACGTTCCGCTAGTTGTCGGCACAGCAAAGCCTCGAAGGTATTATAATCAAACATGAAACTATCAGCATATTAGTCGGTACAGAAATAAATTCCCGACGGTCACATAATATTTTTGGTTAAAATAAAATTTGTATGAAAAGTACAGTTGTCGTAATCGCCGTCATCGCTACTGGTATGACCTTGTCCGGGTGTATCTCGCAATATAATAATATGTTTATAATGAAATTTATTCAATTTTATATATATATATTTATACATACATACATTCTCAAGATTTTTTTTTTATAGAAATATAACAGGCATTGTACACTGTTTATAACTTGTGGTTTGTGGGCGTTTTATTGATAGTTATTATATAGATATGCGATCTTCGAAAAACAAATGCAAAAATATAAATTTATATTTATCCTACATGTTTCGTATTCGATCAGTGCTCCAAGAAGTACTTCATAATATAAATCATTATTATGTTGTGAAATTGGTATTCTTAGTAATAGTTGAAAATCAACTAAGTAACATTGGTCTGTCGAAATGGGTTAGAATAATATGAAATTAATGTAATTTTAATATCAACTAAAACCAATCTTTTTAACTACCTGATACAGTCATAATTAGGGAGCACAAGAAGGTTTTTAACACATCAGGTTTTTTTTTTTAAGTTTTAACTATAATGATAGCAGTGAAATACTATCAATTTTATTTTCAGCAATTTTAGCAACCCCAATATTTGGACTCTAGTTACGTCTATGCTACCTGCTTAGGTTTTTTTTTCTATTTCGTTTGTACGATTTATTAAAAAATAACCACGAGTGATTTTACAGTTTTCGGTTGAATTGAGTTTTCTTTAAATGAATCGGGATTTTTGAAGACATTCCAAATTCCATTAATTCTTCATTGTAATATATATTTTTTTGAATGTTAAATCGCCGTCTAGCTAGTTTGTATTTTGTAACATGCTTATATATTTTGATTTAAACGTGGGGTATGTAGGTGCTTGTCATTATGGAAAACATTTTGATATATGAAAACTGATATGAAGTTAGGTAATTTCGAGTATTCATTATCATGTTCATGTGTTTCGACATTTCTTTAATGAAAACATTTTTAAACGAGCATTTAAATATCATTCGAGATATTTAATTGTTATTGATTATATCTGCCATTAGACATAGATTATTTGTATAACTAGTTATATATAATAATTTATGTATAATATTATATCAAATTAAGTTATTTTAAACCTTGAATAATTTATAGATATTAACCTTACCAACAAATATAATATAAAAATAAATCATGAATATCAATAAGAATTAATAAATTACAATATGTTAGAACATTAATAGTATTTTTACAAAAATAAACCATAAAGTATATAGGTATCTACACTTCAAATCCACGTTTGTGTCAAACATGTGGAGTTTTTGTATTACATTATCATACAGTGCAAACACTATAATTATTGAATGAAAACTGTTTCTATTAAATAATTAAAAAATTAATTATTACTTTTTGTCTACATTTTTTACGAATATTCAATATCCGAGCCCAATGCGTGGGAATTTGATTAAATAATGGGAACTATGGGAACTCATCCACTACTATAGTAGAAAGTCAAAATGAGAATATCATGAGAAAATCTACATACCATGCATATTTTAATAGTGACTTTAATATGTATTAAAGTACATTACGCTTAAAATAAATATCTATGAGAATATATTTTTAAACTGATAAGAAATATATCCATAGGTGCACTGTGATAATTTTATTCATTTTATACGTAGTAACTGGTTGTCTGGTTAGATAATTAATTATAGGCAATATAAAGTAAGGTACCTACTTATTATTATTGTTATTAATTTGTATTAATTATAAGTTATTTACCGTGTCAACGGATTCATTTTTATTTTAGTTTACATCATACTATTTTTGATTTACATACATGTGATAAACTCGCCGATTAGGTTTCAATATTGATTTTTCATTTTCCTGTGTAATTTTAGCTTGAAAAATGCAAGTACTCTTTTTGTCGTCAATTTGTTTGGAAAAAAAATATAGAACCAAAGAATTATGTTAGAATATATATTACAATTATTACTTGCCTTTTTAAATATATTTTGTGAGTAAGTGTAATACATTTATAACTAGTTGGTTACGGATTGGTTACGTAATACTGTAATGTTGAACAATATATGCTGATGCAAAGAACCCGCCAGGATATCCGCTGTTTTTATGTTTCCATTTCATTTATCTAAAACAGCTTGAGATCGGTAATACACAAGAAAATCGCGTAGCACTAATATCTTACGACCCTCTTTAGAATAAAAAAAAAAAAATAACAATAGAAAAAGGGTGCAGACTCCCCTCATAAGGGTGCGGACGAATTTTATAGATGGAACCTCTCATTTCTGCCGTAGACTGTGGTAAAATCATTGAGCTTGTTGGATTTATAACAGGTTGATAGTCGTCTTGAGATCAGTACTGGTCTTGTATCTTAGTATGTCATCACTATATCTTTTGTATCATTCATTTTATCAAAGAATTGCGCTCACTCACATAAGCACACGCACATATCACATGTACATAATATATACGATATACGTACACTATTCAACCAATATTGCATAATTTACGCTGCACGTCTTGCACCCAGTAGAAAACATCTTGACATCCGTTAACATTTCCGCAAGCAGCTTCCTCGTATGTGCTTACGAATGTTTTTTGTTCTTATTCGCTACGCGTATCCGGTTTATTTTAGAAAAATCGTCACGTTTATAATATTTATCTACTATTGTGTTCATCGACCTTCTTAATTTAATTAACTGATAAAATACAATTGATGGATCAACTATAAGTTAAAAAAAATTACAAAAATATTCTTTGTTGGTGGATTTTATCACATATGTTATTCCGGTCCATCGACATTAGTTTTCTGCAATTATGTCGACAAGATATTCTTGTTTATTTTATTATTATTATTTTATTTATTCTCTAAGAATGTTTCTTCGCCGGTTGACCTTGCACCGGGGCTTTCTCGAGGTCGTTCACACTGCGAAGACAACGGCTAGCGTGATGATAGCACGATTCTAGGAAAATCAATTTTTTTGTTTTTCTCTTCCAGGTGGCCTATGAAAATGTTTACATCACGGGCTATTTTTAAAACATCCGCCACTGCAGATTATCGGAGCAGCTGCGCGACGAAAGCATCACTGTATAGTGTATACTAAAAGAGCATCTGGCTGCCGCGTCGATATAGTATAGTAGTGGTGTAGGCGTAGTCTGTACCTACTGGGTCTGGCGCAGATATAGTTATGTAGTAGTAGTCTACCGACGAAATAACGAACGTGCGTAGCGCATAGAATGTTGTATCGTCGACGGGGCAGAGGCTTACGTATATACGTATACCTTGTCTCGATGGTTACCTGATCATCGGATAAAGGGGCGTTCACACCAAGCGTCGGATATCACGTAACCACTCTCTTCGATTTAGTACGCTATTGACCAATGTTGATGACCTAAAATATAACAAAAGTACAATATTATACGTTTTATGGTAAATTATCAAGTATGTCGACTATATTGATGAAATAAATGTCAGATGTTACATTGAAATGTAACAAGAGCCACTAAGTTTAAAAACATTTAGTGTTTTAAAAACACTTTAAAAAAAAAAAGTTGTGTTCTTGATCCGGTTTTTATCGAATTGGTGTGCCTTACAAAAGAAACTTTAATTAATATTGTTTCATAGTATATAGTAGAATCGAAATTGTTTTACGTAACTTGTCTGTTAGTATTTATGACCAACAACTTATGATCCGGGAATACCTACGTTTGAGTCGTATAATTAAAATCCAATAATTTAACAACGTATTGGTTCAATCGATGATTTTTAAGGGATCCTTCAATGCCGTTATAAACTTTTTCTTCTAAAATTACTCGTATATTAAAAACATCTATATTTTCTTGGTTGAATATTTAAATGTTTACCATCATTATCATATTTACTATGAATGATTTTGAAAATGTCGCAAAAAATATAAATAACAAATAATTGTTTAAGTTTCAGATCTTTAAACGTATGAATTATTGAATCAGTGAAATCGGATAAATTTACCATATGCATGTAGGCAGTCATATTTTAATAATAATAGAAATACTTAAAAAAAAATATTTTTCAGTCGAAATATATATTGTTATATATTCTGTAAATTTAAATGTATAATATGCAGCGTGTAGATACATCTTACATTGAAATTTCTAGTTTTTTATTTTTTTGAATTCACAGCCGTAAGACGTTTACTAAAATCTCATGATTTATATTGTTTCTATTCTTACGGATTAATGAAAGATAGTGATGGTATAATAATATGGATATATATCATACACTTGAAAATAATATTATCATATATATATATATATATAATATTTATATAAAATTTCAATGTAAAAACATCTATATTATATTTATTTAATTATTTCAACAGTAAATATTGACATATTTGTATAGATAGCTACTAATATTTTTAACTCTGGATATAATTTATAAGTTATATCCAACTAATAATCACGTAGACATTTTTGCAATCATAGAAAAAAAAATATTTAACCTTATATTTTTGTATTAATATATGTAAATATTTTACAATTTGTTTAGGAATGATAAAATGTTTTGTATTAATAAGAGTAGAAAAAAGTTTGTTGAAATACATATATGTTCGTATTTGTGTAATTTAAATATTCATCTATTATATTTCAAATGCATTTTAATTTATTGTGTTAACTATTATACTTATACATAAACCAGTAATGATATCATCAACATTATATTTACAAGATCAATATTCATAAATAGGTGCATAATAGTTTTTATTTATAAATACACATAACAATAGACACTAACGCAGGCTATAATTTAATCATTACAAAGAATTTTGAGAACAGCATTTTTTTATGCTTACGCCGTAAGCTGTTTCGAGTTTTCTACAGTGAATAATATTACTATTAATTTTATATTTTAAAGTTTAAACACCTAAG